CGAAATCATGCGCAGACAGAGAGCACCAACAGGGAACACGCGACACCAGCAGATGAAGTCCAATAACGAAGTCGAGGAGATCCAGGTGCACAGGCCCGATCTCTCAGCAGCAGCCAGCAGGTTGCCCCGCTGCCCATCCGCCCAGGGGTGGGTTCGCCTGACGGTGGGCTTCTGGCCAACGTGGCCTGCCTCCACCGCCGTCGGCGGCAGGGGCTCACGGGCGGCGCCACTTCGATTCGAGGGCGGGCGCGGGGGTGGCCCGTTGCGGTCCGTTGGAATCTCGATCCAGGGCCGGGCGCCAATGCGAGCCGCTGGCCGGCCGACCTCATGGCTCCGAAAGAAGCACCGGAATGGGACTGCGACCAGAGAGGCGAACAGTAGCGCCCCCATGCTGCGCCTAGGCGACCTACCACGCGGCGCACAAGGTCGCGCCCAGCAACACCGTTGGCCCACACGTTAACCTAAGACGCACGAAAATTCTACAGCGCCGCGAAGATACCAGGCCCCACTACGGGCGCAGCGCGGCGCGGACATCGTGGTGCGCCGAAGCAGTTGGGTCCCTATGGCGAAAGGTCGCCCTTTCGCGTCGGAGAAAGACCTCGGCGACTGCCGAGCTCAAGGTCGCGCCCATGCGCGTGGGAGCGACCCCCGCAGGGTGTCCAGCAGAAGGTTGCATTCGTGCGCGGGGAAGCGACCTCGTTGGGTGCCCGGCAGGAGGTTGCCCTCCTGCGCGGGGAAGCGACCTCGTAGGGCGCCCAGCAGAAGGTTGCCCTCCTGCGCGGGGAAGCGACCTCGTAGCGAAAGAATGCCACCCTGCGCCCCCCGCCCCCCCACCGACCCGCCACACACACACAGACACAGACACAGACACAGACACAGACACATACACAGACACACACACACACACCACACACACACACATTCCACGCCTTCATGCCCCTCCTGGAAGAAGAGAAGAAGAAGAAGAAGAAGAAGAAGGACGGGAGGAGGAGGCGAGAAGCTGTGGGGACCCTCGAGGTGGCAACGCTGGCCGCCAGAGAGCAAGCGTTAGCGCGGGCTTACCTGCCGTCCGAGGTCGACAGGTCAGATACGTAAGAGGTCGACCGCTGCGGGTAGTGATCCAGCTTCGGCGGCGGGGCTCTTCTCCTCCTGCTGTCTCGGGGCGGATTGCGCGCCCCACCGCCCTGGAGAGCTGTCTCCACTGGCACCCTGACTCGGGCTTGCGGATTACTTCCTCGCCCCGTCAGGGGGCCGCGGCGGACGGTTCGGCGCGTCGCCATCAGGGCCAGCTCGGCCATCCAAGGCGAGCGTCCTGGGGAGACATAGTTGCGCGAGGCGTTTGCGGGCGGCTTCTTCTGCGACGCTGCCTCCCCATAAATACATGTTCCCTGATGGTGGCGCGAACACATTGGACCGCTCTTCCCGTTGCGCCGCAGTTTGGGGCGCTTGCGTTTCATTGGCAAAGTCATTGCAATACGTGCGAGCGCCCGACTTGACAGCCAGTCCTGTCGCCTTTTTCCTGCAAGCGTGCAATGCACGAACCTCTCCGAATCCGGTCGCCGCAAGTCTCTTTGCTGGCGGACGTGGCCGAGCGGACCCCTCGGTCTCCAACTGTCTCCCTCCCCGCCGCTGGCAGGCGCATTCCTTCCAGGAGTTAGCGCGCCTGTCTCTGAGCCACTCGTGGGTCTTGTTTGGAACGCTCCTTTCGATCCTCGTGCACACTCCCATCTCGTATGCAAGGTCGTGATAATGTCTTTCTTGCGCCATGCACAGGAGCTCAAAGACGCAATGCTCGGGAATGGCCTTCATCCACAGGACCGCGCAGCCCCAGTCCTTGGCAAACTTGCTGAGATCATTGCCTCTGATTTCCGCGGAGGTCCGCGGCATTGAGGTTGGCGACGTCAACGACGCAGCCTTCTGCTTCCACATGCCTGCACCAACCCAAGGCAACAAAAACGATGCGTCGTCCCATATCGAGCCGACCGACGGTCTTAGCCTTAGGTCGGGCATGTCCCCCTACAGGCGGATTTTCGACGAAACCTTAAAAATAGTCAAAACATATTGAGAACTTGCCCCCCAGAACAAAAAACTCCAAAAATCATCCCCGGAAGATGTTTGGGGCATTTTGACATGTTCTTCCTGTAGAGGGACAGGCCCGACTTCATCTTGGCCTCCTCCGTCCGCGCGCTGGCTCTCCTCTTGAGGTCGTCATAACCAGGGTGTGCCTGCAGGCCGTGGCGACCTCTTCAGATCGACTGCCTCGAACTTGCCGCTGTCCACGACCCTCCTCCACTTCCTCCTCCTCCTCCTCCTCCTCCTCCTCCTCCTCTCCTCCCCTCCCCACATCCCCCTCCTCCCCCTCCTCCTCCTCCACCTCCTCCCCTCCCCCTATCCCCCTCCTCTCCCTCCTCCAACTCCTCCTCCTCCTCCTCCTCCTCCTCCTCCTCCTCCTCCTCCTCCTTCCCCTCCTCCTCCTCTTCCTCCTTCCCTTCGTGACTCGCAGGTCATTGCAACATCTTCCGTCACACGGAGCCAGGACTGGTCTGCCAGACGCGGAGCACGTCGTCTCGCACATGTTGATATTCAACCTTTTCGACGCTTTTGTTGTGCACCTCTGTCAGTTGAGCAGCATTCGCACTGCATCTTCGGCGGCACTCCGCCGCCGGTGGTTCGACTATCCACCGCCCGCGCCTCGAGGTTCTGCCTCGAAGTGCGGGGATGGCGCGCGTCTCTGTCGGTCGTCCTGGATAGAGGAGCGGGCCCGCAGGGCCGCTGTGCGAGCGGTGGATCTTGCTGGCCAAGGATCCCGTTCCTGGGCGTGGTGTAACCGTCATGGCTCAGCTGACTTTGTCTCTGTCGCCTGTCCCTTACACTAGGCACTTCATGCTCGCGGTGAGGTGTCCGTCCGCTGCGTTTCGCATGCTTGGCAGCACTTTGCCCTGCTACGGCGCGCCGGCGCGCCGCGGGCGTAGCAGGCGGTCGCCTTTCTGCGGCTGCCAGCGCAGGGTCCACGAAGATCTTCTGCGGCAGTGACACTGGCCACATTGTCCCGGCAACGGTCCGCTCCGCCAGTTCCCGCGGCTGCGGCGATGGGGACGCAGGTTGTGACAGCCTCGTTGCTGGACTCACACGCCTCGCGATTAGTGACGGTTGTCTAGCAAACACTGCAGGGAACTGTCTCTCAATTTTTTGCGCCCGCTGTCTTATTGATCGAATCGTTCATGTCACTCGACCGGCCAAATTCAGCAGCCGCCTCATGTCTGATCCTATCCATCTGAGTGGCGTGCATCGAAACACTGCTCTGGAGCTGGTCAGTAAGAGTCGCCAGCTACATGCGCGCACGGCATGAGTCTTCGACACGCGTCTCTGACCTGTTCCTGAAGATCCACCGGCACAGCTTCGTGAACAGAACTCACGTCGTTGTTCGTGGAGGCTTGGCCATCCGCGCCGCCAGGCTGCCCTCGGAGAGCGGCGGGGCCATGAATCGTGCCACTCCTGGTGGCTACGGCTCCTGCCATTTGACCTTTGGTCTGCTCCAGTTCGGTGCTTCTGGCGAGCTGTTTTGTTTTGCTCTCAGGTACTGTTGCTGCAGGTCGTCGCGCTGCTGGTTGATGAGCGCGTTGCGCTCCTGCCCGGATTCAGAAGCCAGGAGTCGTTGGCCCATTGCCCGCGGCACAGGCAGGACGCCACACCTGAGCCGCCTGCGCCCGCTGCCACGTCAGCAGCAAGCCTGCTCAAGGAGTTCGAGCAGGCCGCACCGCAGGCCGACGAGGCGGCGTTGCAGGCGCTCCAGCGCCCCCTCCCTCGGCCCGAGCCTGCCGGAGTCGAGGATGCCAGCCAGGCGCGCCAGCGGGCGGCGGCGGCGGCGGAGCGCAAGGCACAGACGGCCAAGGACAAGGCAGCGGAGTCGAACCGCAAGGCGGCCCAGCGGCTCCAAGGGAGAAGGTGTGTCTCACCCCCCGCTCGTGCAAGGCACAGACGTCCAAGGACAAGGCAGCGGAGTCGAACCGCAAGGCGGCCCAGTGGCTCCAAGGGAGAAGGTGCGTCTCACCCTCCGCTCGTGGCACATGTTGATTTTGGCGGACACCCCTGTCTGGGTGTTGGGGTGTCGCGGGTCCGTTTGGGCCCTCCCCTCCTGCCGCCGCGGCTGCCGGCGCGGGAGGGAGAGAGAGAGAGAGAGAGAGAGAGAGGACGCCGCGCGGAGCATCGGTGGCTCTCGAGGCTGCGAATTGGCGAAGAGGGGGCCCGCCGACCGCGCTCCCTCCCCTCGCCGCCTCGTCGTTCCCACTGCATGCGGTGTGCTGTGTTTCCCTGCTCTCGGCCGCCCTCGTCATCGAAGTTGGACGTGAACTCATAAAGTACGAGTGGGGGACTGGCTGCCGTCATAGGCGAGCCAGGGCTCAGAAACCCATCCGAGGGCAAAGGCGAATTCGGCCCAGAAGCTGAAGCTGCCGCAGTCAAAGGTAATGCACCGAAGTGGTGCAGCGAGCGCCACAGATTATCAGCCGAAGCGGTACCGCTAGCATCGCGCCGTACCACGATGGAAAATTCGGGAACGCTAGAGGCAAACCTCGAGGCCATCATCTCCGACACCGCATTCGAGGCGGAGGGGGCCGCTGACGGCCACGCTTTGACGCGCGAGCGGTCAGCGAGCGCCGCCACAGCTGGGGAGGCTCGAGAATATGCTTCCGAAGATGTCACTCCCGTAGCCCAAGACGTCGATGCCCCGAGGCCCATGAGCGCCCCCGACAGCGGGGCCGACGTGCCAGGGCGACACGGCGCGGCGCTACGGGCGACGCGTCACGGCGACCTGTCACGACGGGCAACGCGCCAGGGCGACTGGGTGCTACAGGCGACGCAGCAGGGCGACCTGCTGCTGTTGGAAGGCCTGCCGTTTTTTTACGGATGCCGGAAGAGCCAGCAAAGCATGGGGACTGCATGCCCTGCTCCTTCGACAGTGTGTACCTTTCCCGTGGCTGTGCTCCAAAACAAAGCAGAGCTGCCATGACTGCCCGACAGGGCTAGAATCTAGAACGCGCGACAGCAAGTGAGACACAGTTCTCGACCGCCTTCTGGACCAAGCACACAACAGCGTCGAACTGTCGCCTCCGTGCTGCCCAGACGACCTACTGAATGCGCAAATGGTATTGTAGGAACAGCTCGAGCAGCAACAACGTGCTCTTCAGAAGCAGATGAGGGAAGCTCGCCAAGCTCTTCGCAGCACCTTCCTTGAATGCGCGAGAGCAAATGACGAGCGCGGCGACCAGCAAACACGGGCTGTCGCTGCAGAAGCTCGACGCATGGCCGAACTGCTTTACCAACCACAAACAATTCGCCCAACCCTCCTCGCTGATGATCCTCGCGCTGCTGTTGAAGTCCTGGTGGCTCAGAGCGCCAGAGACCGTGAACCTTGGCAGGGTGACGACGCCCGAAGCGTCAGTCCCTCCTTCGGCATCAGGCGGCGGAGGACCCTTCCCGACGTCTGCCCACGCTCCTTGCGCAGAAACGTACCGCGGGGCTGCAGCCAACTCGAGCTTCTTGCCCCACGAAAGGCAGACCGACCTGCCTGATGCATGTCCGATTGTAGCTGCAACTGACGCACTTGGTGTTCCTACTGGAGGCCCCACTGTCCATCGTGGAAGGCACAACCCGAGAAGCGGAAGGTGCCAGGACGGCACGGAGGCCCAATTACTTAACATGAACAGCCAGGCCGGCAGGAATACCCTGAGTCCTGGCGCATTGTCCCGAAGCACCTCCCCGGCGATCAGCACCGCCACGACCTCGTCGGGGCCCATCAGCTCCAGGTTCCGCGCTACCACATGCGCCACCTTCGGCATTACCAACTTCGTGGCTTGCAGCAATCGCTCACTGAGCTTCACGGACACCGAGAAGATTCTGGCGGCAACATCCTCGGGCACCACCCTCTCCTCTAGGAGCTCCCCGAGGCGGACCAGCAGCAAGGCGCCCAGACTGGGGTCGGTGAACCACGCGTCCTTCAGATTAGCTTTCGTCTGGAACCTCCAGCATTTCGCAGCGCCGCTTCGAGACCTCCCCTTGTCCACACCCCCCATCACGCCCGTGCACCTGGACCATCTGTTCCGATCCTGGCCACGCGTGAGAGTTTTTTGTTGGGGGGGGGGTGCGTTGTGACGGCCGTGCTCTGGACGAACGGCCTCCGCTGCCGTGGCTGCCGCGAGCCCGCGCGGGCCTCGCCGAGCCTCGCGAGCGCGGCCTCCGGGCCGCGCGCGGCCCCGGCCCCGCGGCGCCCGAGGCCGCGCGGTGCCCTGGCCCGTGCAGAGCCGGTGGCGGGCGGCGCCCGTGGAGGCGCCGCAGGGCGGCGGGCCCCCGCCCAGGCTCCGCGCGCCCGCCTCGGCGCTCCGAGGCGCCCGCTCGCCGCCACTGCCCGCGCGGCCGCGCGGCACGGCCCCGCACGCTGGGCAGCCCAGCGAGGCCCAGTGGGCGCACGCGAGAGCCAGGAGGAGGAGGAGGAGGAGGAGGAGGAGGGGGAGGAGGAGGAGGAGGAGGAGGAGGAGGAGGAGGAGGAGGGGAGGAGGAGGAAGAGGAGGAGGAGAGGAGGAGGGGGGAGGAGGAGGAGGAGGAGGAGGAGGAGGAGGAGGAGGAGGAGAGGAGGAGGAGGAGGGCGAGCGCACGCGAGCAGGGCCCTCCTCCTCGTCCGCCCTCCTACTTTCCCAGCTCCCCCCTCCTCCCCCGTCCCCCTCCCCTCTCTCCTCCCCCCTTCCCCCCTCGACTCCCACGCGTCAGGTTCACCACTGCGCTCACCCCGAGCAACCCACGCCCTGGTTCGGAAGCTCGCACGTCGAGCGCAGATGGCAGCTCGCATGGAGCAGCCTGTGAAGGGCCCTCTTCCCGCCGCTCGCGCTCAGGCGTTGTGGCCAGGCGCACATCGCGGAGGTTGAACGCGCTGTGAGGAATAATGAACCAGCCTTGGCGAGTCTCTATGAGAGGCGGCACACGAATGTCAAACTGCATATTGATGGGTCAACGGGCGGTGCGGCGAGCTCCCGACCCCCCCACCCTCCGCCTTGCAGCGGCAGCGAATAAGTGAGGATCTTGAAGGGGCCCTTGTACGTGCCCAGCAGCACTCGGCGGTGCATCTCTGTTTCGACAAGGGTCTGAAAAATCTGCCGCCCCAGCCAGTTTGGGGCACTCTCGCAAATGTAGCAACTCACGTGTACACTGTCGTGCACACGGTCCATTCGATAGGTGTATATGCAAGTTTGTGTGGTATCTCACATAGGGCATGCACACATCGGGTCAAGAATCACAGCGCGACTGCAAGACGAAAACCCACGGCGGATGTCGACATCAACCCAAGGACCATCGCAACACACATACGATGCCCATGGGGAATACACAATCTACGAGCGACCATGTGCACATGCATGAACCGCGTGGGTCATTGTGTGCAGATGTATGGGCACGCACCTATACGCATATGCGTCGCATGACCAGTGGGCGCTCGAGTGAATTAAATCAAACCACATTCGAGTCAACCGAACTGGTCCCAGGCAAAACAGCTGACTTCGGTCACATGGCAAGATAGCGGGATTCGGTAAGCTCTCCCTGTTTCGCTGCATTCGAGTATCTCCTCCATCTGGTCATATGATTTTGAATATACGCTCGCGCGGGTCGCGATCGCAGGATGCACGCGCATTATAGAACGCGTGCGCCTAAGATATACACGTGCTCACGTGTTAAGCGTGGATACGAAAATCCGCCAACCCACTGTAGATACTGAGTGATTGGTCCCTGAGTCCTGAAGGAAATCGAACGTTAGCCATCGTGGATACCAAACAGTAAACCATTGCACTGTGGATATTTAAGCTATGTGATGTCATCTACGTGGTGCAAGCCATGTGGTGCAAGCAGTGTGGTGCAGGCGATGCGATGTCACATATGTGGTGCAACCTCGGCAGACCCCCCAAGCGCTGTGGGCGGCAACGAGGCGGCAACGAGGCGGCAATGAGGCGGCAACGAGGCGGCAACGGGGCGAAACTTCGACGGACACATCAAGTGGGCGGCAACGAGGCGGCAACGAGGCGGCAACTGGGCGGCAACGGGCGGCGACGCGACGAAACCTCGACGGACCTCCCAGGTGGGCGGCAACGAGACGGCAACGAGGCGGCAACGGGCGGCGACGCGGCGAAACCTTAACGAACCCCTCAAGTTGGAGGAAACGAGGCGACAACGAGCGGCGACGCGGCGAAGCCTCAACAGAACCCCTCAAGTGGGTGGCAACGAGGCGACACCGAGGCGGGAACGGGCGGCGACGCGGCGAAACTATATGCATTATGGGGGGGGGCGGGGGCCAGCCCCGCCCCCTTGGCGCCAAAGAGGCCCCACCGCGGCCCCGAGATGGCCCCCAAACGGCCAAAGACCGTCCCGAAAATCATGCGAACGGCCTCACAACGGCCCCAGAGCCCCCAACAATCGCTTTCAGCCCCCTAAGAGGCCCCCCAAACGGCCAGAGACAATTCCAAAGAACATCTTCGGCGCCCGAAAAGCATCCAAAACTCCTCCAGAGGGCCCAGACCCCCGAGAGGATTCCATCAAGTAAAATCGTCGGACTCCCTTCAAGAAATTGCCATTTTCAACACATTCGCTGTTTTGCCCTTCGAAGCGTCCAATACGGTCCCAAACGCTTCCGTGAGGGCCCCAAGAGGGCCCCGAGATGTTTCCGGACGGTCCAGCAACGGCCCAATAGCTCCCCAAAGACGGCCCACGAGGACCCTCAGAGGGGCCCCAAAACAGCCAAAGATTGCCCCACGGCAGCCCATGAGGCGCCCAAAATGGCCCAAGACGACCCCAAGACGATCCAAGATGCGCCCCACACGGCCGAAGAGGGCCCCGAGAAGCACCCCAGGGGCTTCCAAGCGGCCCCCTAGAGGCTGACGGGAGGCGAGAGGCCCTCACCTCACGGCCACAATACAAAGAACTGTTTTACGCTCTGGTGGCATTGGATGCCTGTCTTCTGGGCGACGACGACGACGACGACGAAGCTCCGAATACCTGGGCACATCACCGCAAGGTGTACCACATTACCTCTGTCTCCACTGTGCGAAGGTCAGGGACGAACTCCCCGGTGTCGGACTGGCCCTGGTCCATCGCAGAGCAGACGCTGGAGCACACCTGCGCGCTTGTTCGTGGCAGCACGTACACAAGAGCAGAGGCGTGACACAACCAGCGACGATGTCACAGCACGCCCGTCTGGACAGTACATTTTTCTCCACGAACCAATACAGTGATGATGAGCATTGCCAGCTTCCCCACTGAGGGAAAGGAGACTCCACCATGCGATGCACAAACCCTGGAGGAGAAGACAGAGACAACGAAATAAGGAACCAAGACGGAAATAGAAAACGAGGGAGGAGGAAGACAAGTACGAAATGCGTTCGCATGTCCACGATTATCACGCCTGGGGCGGATAGATGGCCCAGAACTGATCACCGGAGAAGTTCACGGCAGTGTTCAAAGTCCTTCAAGCCAAAGTGCCAACGACCGACTGACCAGCAACGGCTGACCCAGGTCAGAGCTGCAAGAGTTCGCAACTGATCAAGGTGGAAAGTTGTCGACCGTCTAGGAGTACGGCTCCAGAGCGTCGACGAGCCATGGTGGGCCATGGACTGCCCGAAGCAGCATTCTCAGATCGCCTATCATTGTGACGGCCGAGTCTCCTTCCAGCTACCATGATCGGGAACCGTTTCCGCTCAGACACAGCACTGCAAAGCAAGACACTACAAGGCCCTCCAAACGACGCAGATTAGGAGGACGAGGAGGAGGACGAGGGGGGAGGAGATCCCAAAATCGAATCGATAAGTCGGATCGGCGATGGAAATGAATCGGATCGGCGGAAATCGGCAGCCGAGTCGGGAGAAGTCGAATCGGCGGAAAGCGGCCGGTTAGTATGCCTCCGATGAAACATCGGATCCCAAACCGGCATCCGAAGTCGAATCGAATCGGAATCGGAAACCATCGACGTCGAAGTCGAATCGACTCGGAGGAGTCGAAAGGAGCCCTGGAGGAGGAAGCCGAGGACGACGAGAGCGGCTGGACTCCCCGTCTGGCATCGGCGGCGCACCGCGTCCGTCTCGCTCCGGCGGGGAACGAGCTGGGCACCGCGTGGCCGACACAGCCGGCTGGAGCGGGCAGCTCTCGGCAGAGGCTTGTCCGGATTTCAGGAAGGCCACGTCATGGTGGCAGTCCAAAGCGGTCGCACCGCGAGGGGGCTGGCCAGCGCCAGCAGTGACACTCAGCAGCACTGCTCGAACGGAAGGGAGGTAGGGAAGAGAAGGGAGGTAGGAAAACGAGGGGGGGAAGAGAAGGGAGGTAGGAAACACAGGGACGAGAAGGGAGGTAGGAAAGCGCAGGGGGGGGGGAGAGGGAGGAGAAGGAAACAGGCGCGAGAAGGGGGGAAGGAAAACGAGGGGGGGGAGAGGGCGGCAGGTCGAGATCACGAAACCCCTCTCACGTGCGAAGGCTGGCCACAGTGCGGGTGGCTGGGGCGCAGAGAGGCCCTCGCAGGCACAAGTCCAGGGAAGCAAGGGGCGGGGAGCGAGAAGAAGCACAGCCGAGGGAAGCACAGCCGAGGGGGGCCAGGGATGGGAAGGGGGGACGCAGGGGAGGGGAGCGAGAAGAAGGTGCAGCCCCGAAATGTGTGTGCGCACCCCCCCTGTCGAAACAGTGGGACCAGGCCCATTGGCAACTGCACGGTGGGGCAAGTTCAGGAAAAGTGGCGAAATGTACGACCACCATCCTCGGCACTCCCGACATGATCACCATCGTCATCACCACCAGCATGTTCACGATCATCATCATCATCATCATCATCATCATCATCATCATCACCATCATCATCATCATCATCTTCATCATCATCTTCATCGTCATCATCATCATCATCATCGTCATCATCATCATCACCACCACCACCACCATAGGACAGTCGCAACGAACTCCAAGTGAGAGCACCTTCCCTTCTCTTTCGTCGTACCGCCTCCTCCTCCTCCTCCTCCTCAACCACCTCCTCCTCCTTCTCTTCTTCCTCCCTTCTTAGAGTACGACCAGCTACTACTGCTGTAACGATTAACGGCTCTCGGTAACAATAATACGACGACTACAACTACTGCATCCCATCGCTGCACTCTCTCAAAACGAAATATAAACAAGGCAGGGGTTCGGGCTCAAGTTCGCGACGACAATGCGGATAACGCACGAGAGAAACACGAGGCGCATGTTGGCATGACAGAACACCATAAAACACACACATTGAGCGTGTGTTAACTAACCACTCCTTCAAGCGCGAGTGGTTTAGAGCGTTTCCTTTGCTGACCCCCATGTCTTCCCTTTCGGGGGGGGGGTACCATTGTTCCAAAGAGATGAACACCCTCTTCCCCCCCGCCGGGCAACAAACCCAGGGCTCTGCCAATAACCCCCATCATCCCTTGCAAAAAACACACACACATACACCTGGAGCGTCGATCAGCTAGCATCGGCTTTTTACAGGCACGGCGGGGGTGCCAGCGTATTGCCTGCTGCGTGCAACGCCACCCCCCCGCCGCCCACACATCCCTCGTTTTAAACAGCATCAAATGCATGTTGCACCCAAATCTAGAGCATGCAAAGGCGCCCCGGGATCACTTCGCATTAGGTTTTCACGAGGACGGCGGGGAGGGGGCGGCATATTGCCTGCCGTGTGCAATGCCCCCCCCACACACACACACACCACCATCCAGTACAACAAAAACAAAGACGTAGCGCCAATGGCACACTCGTTTGGCCGATGGCGGCGGCAGCCCCGCTGCTGCTGCCGCGGAGCCTGTCGCACGGAGCAGCGCCCCCAACCCCGTGTCGTCCGCCATGGGTGCAAGCGAACAGACAGCGCCCCGATCTGTCCTTCCGTAGAGGAGCCTCTAACCTGCATAACGGGAATACCACATAGACTTCGATTGAATGATAAGAAGGTCGGGGGGGCATCTTGATTTGCATTGGACCACAATTGAACTCACGAGTGGACACGCACCAAGACATCACTATTGACTTGTATCCCAGCCGCGTTCCTCTCACTATCGCTCTACATGTACAAAAATTACGACTTTTGTAATACCATGTAACAGTGCCGTCGAAAAGGCTCCGCCGTGTTCTCAGGCGTCGGAGTGTTGCACTCCGTCGTGCGGCTGCGCATCCTAATGCTGGAACCTGTCGTGACACTAAGTGTGGTAGTGCTGCCAGATACCGTCGGGACAACCATCGGCTCCTGATGAACACCATCGGGACACCATCAGGATACCATCGGGACAACCATGCGGGCGCGCGGTGCCAGGGGAAACACGCTTTGTAAATCGGTGCTGGTGCTTTGCGCTCTGCAGGGGCCCACCCTTCTCACTGAACGCTTTCCCATCTCATGAACTAATTGGGATTCGGGCCCTCCGCCATGGGCCATGGGTGCTGCCTGTGTGTTGGGAGGGGGGGTGGGAGTGAGCGCCACGGCAGTCCTTCGGAGGTATACAAAAAAGAAACTCCCCAAGCCGACCAGTGCAATCTCGGGACAATGGAGGCCCCCCTACCATCCTTGTCAAGTTACCCGAGACGTACCAGGCCCCTTCTCCATCCGAGGCGAATATTTACACGAACGCTCCATACCAAATAACGCATCGCCAGATATGCACGATCTGCGCTGCCCTAATCGCCGCCGTGCCTCCCGGGAGCCCGCGAAAGTGGCAGCGGATGCGCTGCTCAGAGCCACCCAGGGAGCAGCGAGACCTCGGCTGGCTCCGCGCATCCCCCGACTCCGCTGGACCTCCCATGAACCCACGACAGTGGCGACGGTGGCGCAGTTCGCAGCCGCCCAGGGAGCAGCGAGGTCCCCAATAGGCACGCGTGTAACTCCACTCCGCTGGACCTCCCAGGAGCCCACGATAGCGGCGACGGTTGCGCAGGTCGCTGCCGCCCAGGGAGCAGCGGGGTCCCCTATGGGGTCTGCGTGGCTCCCGACTCCGCTGCACCTCCCGGGAGCCCACGAAAGTGGCGACGGTTGCGCAGTTCGCAGCCGCCCAGGGAGCAGCGAGGTCCCCTATGGGCCTGCGTGGCCCCCGACTTCGCTAGACCTCGCAGGATCCCACGAAAGTGGCGACGGTCGCGCAGTTCGCTGCCGCCCAAGGAGCAGCGAGATCCCCAATGGGCACGCGTGGCCCCCAACTCCGCTGGACCTCCGAGGAGCCCGCGAAAGTGGTGACAATTGCCGTTTTCGCAGCCACCCAGGGAGCAGCGAGGTCCCCAATGGGCACGCGTGTAGCTCCATTCCGCTGGACCTCCAAGGACCCAATGAGAGTGGCGACGCTTGCGCAGGTCGCTGCCGCCCAGGGAGCAGCGAGGTTCCCAATGGGTCTGCGTGGCCCCCAACTCCGCTGACCTCCCGGGAGCCCACGACAGTTGCCCAGTTCGCGGCCGCCCAGGGAGCAGCGAGGTTCCCAATGGGCACGCGTGGCCCCCAACTCCGCTGGACCTCCCCGGAGCCCAGGAAAGTGGTGACGGTTGCGCAGTTCGCAGCCGCCCAGGGAGCAGCGAGGTTCCCAATGGGCACGCGTGTAGCTCCACTCCGCTGGACCTCCCAGGAGCCCACGATAGCGGCGACGGTTGCGCAGTTCGCAGCCACCCAGGGAGCAGCGAGGTTCCCAATGGGTCTGCGTGGCCCCCGACTTCGCTGGACCTCCCGGGATCCCACGAAAGTGGCGACGGTCGCGCAGTTCGCAGCCAGCCAGGGAGCAGCGAGGTCCCCAATAGGCACGCGTGGCCCCCAACTCCGCTGAACCTCCGAGGGCCAAGAAAATGGCGACGGTTGTGCAGTTCGCAGCCACCCAGGGAGTAGAGTAGAGCAGGAGGAGGCAGGAGAAGGGTGGAGGCAGGAGGGGGGGAGAAGGAGTGGAGACCACTGCTGTGCTCGATCCAAAACCACAACCCAACACATGAGGATTGGAAACAACAACGTAAAGCCTACATTGTGGCAAAATCTTGGATCATATTCGCGGCGATGCGCGAGCACTTTGTATTGTATTGGTTTGACAGGGGTGGCGGGAGTGTCAGTAGATGGCTGCATGCTGCGCGCAGGACCAACACCCCTGTCAAAAGCAATACACACTGCACTTCGCGGCTACATCTGGATCGTGCACGGGCACCACACGATCACTGTGCATCGGTGTTTGACAGGTGCGGCGGGGATGTTGGAATATTGCCTGCTGTGTGCAGGCCAACCAGGCATCATGGCCACTGCACCGCGATTGCGCATTCGTTTTTTCCGACATGCTTATCGATGTGCGCGGGCGCACCTGGCACACGCTGCGCCTGCCCCGAAAGTGACGCACCTGGCGCGGCTGGCGCACGCGGTACCCTCGGCGCACGCGGAGCACGTGGCGCATCTGGCGCACCACGCGCGGCTGGCACGCTCGGGCCCCAGGGGCGCCTGGCGCTCCTGGCGCCCCAGCGTCGCGCACCTGGGGTCTGGACTGGTTCCGAGTAATTAGCTGCCCATCCAAAGAAGACCGCTGAATATGCTGAGCCTCGGGTATTACGGATGTGTCGGGAGGGCGGGTGGGGGTGAGCCAAACAATTGGCGTCTGGAAGGAGATGTGTTGACCCCTTCCCCGACGCCCTCCCCCTGGGTCTGGACAGGGGGGGCGCGACCCATAAGAGCGTCCAAGATGGCCCAAGATGACTTCAGATAGCGCAAGATGGCATCCAAGATAGCATAACCGAATGTTGCCCAAGATGGCTTCCGACATGGTCAAGGAGACCCCAAGACCATCCCAGATGGCCTCAAGTGGCCGCGAACCCCCCCAACAAGGCCCACGAGTGACCAAAACCCGTCCAACCTACGGGGAGAAACTGATTGTGGCCTTCTCCCCCTCTCGCGTTTGCCTTGATTTTCCGGCCTCAAGATAGCTCCAAAATGGCCCAAGAGAACTCCAGGAGGGGCCCAAGACGACTCCAAGACGGCCCAAAAATCATTTTGCCCGGCACACTTGAACAGGACTCTGTGTAACTCTCCTCCTCTGCCGTCGCCTCCTCCTCCTCCTCCTCCTCCTCCTCCTCCTCCTCCTCCTCCTCATTGTACTCCGCCACCTCCTCCACCCACTCCAACCACGACGACGACGACATGCGGCGCGGAGCCCGGCGGAGCTCGCCTGCGCGCGGGTGCGCTCGGGGAAGCTCTGCAAGAGCGCCCGGGACAGCGGCGGCCTCGGCACGGCCCCGCGAGGTGCTTAGAAAGTCGCCGTCCAGCGACGACGTCCAAGGGGGGAGAAAGGGAATGACAAGGAGGAGGAGGAGGAAGAGGAGGAGGAGGAGGAGGCGGAGGAGGATAGAGGAAGAAGAAACGACATAAAAATACATGTTCGGAGCTCCGCATGGATTTCTTGGATCGGCGCTGGACCCCCCTCCCTGGCGCGCGGAGCATGCCAGGTGCGGCGCCGGAGTCGCCGCCAGGGAGCCCAGGCGCAGATCCAAGACACCCGCGCGGAGATCCGAGTTATTATGTTCATGGCGTTTTTTTTTTCTCTTCGAGAAAAATGAGGAGGAACAGGATGAGGAGGAAGAGGAAAGGTGGGGAAAGATGGAGTGGCGTGGCGTTTCTCTGCCCACTTCGAGCATCTGGGAAGACCCTCGACCTCCACGGCTGGATCCGCCTCGGAGTCCTGGATCACGACGTGGCGCGGGGATCGATTTTCGTTGAGAGAGGAGGCGGAGAGACAAGAGAGGGGCAATCTAGGCGCGCACGAACCACACCTGATATTGTCGGGGATCTTCTGACCCAGGTCAATCCAGACCCGGGTCAGTCAGGCCTTGCAGGATCCTGCAGAATACTCCAGGATCCTGCAGGATCCTGCACCCAAACCGAGGTCAATGCAGCCATGGCCCTGCAAGATCCTGCGAGATCCGGCGAATCCGGCGCTCTGATTGACCCCCGTTTGCATTGACTCCCGTCTCTTGAGCCCCGATATTGAATCCAGCGGGAAGGGTGTTCTAGCGCGCCTTGATTCCGAAATGGCAATGGTAAGCCTTGATGCATCCTTTGCTGTGCCATCAAAACGGGGGGCCTTTCGTACACTGGAGAGGAAGAATGAGAGGAAGAGAAAACGTCCCCAGTGCGTGTCTTCTGGGCATGACACAAAGCCAAAGCAGGAAACTCTGCTGAGGAGACTATCTCTTCCCCTTCTCATGTATGTTCCCCTTCGTCCTCTTTCCAAGCTCCCCCGATGCGTTTGAAGAGTTCACCCGCAAGAGTCCACACGACTTGTTTGTCATGGAAGCCTTCAAGGAATCGAACCGACCACCCTCGATGGTCCCACCTGCGTACAATGTACCTCTGGCAAACGGTGTTCAACCTTGGATGCCTGCGACGGTGTCGCCGTCGGGAGTGGTCCTGCCACAGGGGCGACCACGGATGAAGACGACGACGACGACGGCAACGACGACGACGACAACGACGACGACGAAGACGAGGACGACGAAAAGGACGACGACGACGACGACGACGACGACGACGACGACGACGACGACGGCGGCGGCGGCGGCGGCGGCGGCGGCGGCAAGGGCGGCGGCGGCGGCGGCGGCGACGGCGGTGGCGAACGGCGGCGACGACGAGGACGACGGCGATAGCGGACAGCGGCTGACGGCGGCGGCGAGAGCCCAGAGGAGGAGCAGGTGTACCAGAGAGGAACCACCGCGCGCACCAGCGCGGGCGCCGACCTGTCGCGGTCAGGCCAGCCGGCTGGGGACGCTAAGGCGGCGGCATGAGGCTCAGCAGAGGGCCCCAGTCACGCGTCACGCCCCCGCTCTGCGGGGCCTCGGGCGAACTCTCGTCGTGCCAGCGAATCCAGCCCCTCCCCTGAAATTCAAAAAGTCTTGCCTGTACCCTCGGTAAGTTCTGAATCGGTTTGGGGGGCCCTGGGCTCTCTAACAACCAAATAAGCGGCCCCTGGAAGTTTCAGAAAATTAAAGAGCGCTGACCAGCGTGGACTCCAGACACTGATTTGCCGCATCACTGGATGTGCTGCACACACATATATATGAATATAGAGATGGGAGCTACGCTACAAATAATCATATACATGTAGACACGTGCATACATACATACATACATACATGCATGCATACATACATACATACATACATACATACATACATACATACATACATACATACATACATACATACATACATACACACATACATATATACACACATACATACACACATACATACATACATACATACATACATACATACATGCATACACCCATAGATACATACATACATACATACATACATACAGACATACACACACATACATACATACACACATACATACATACATACATACATACACACATACATACATACATACATACAGACATACAAATATAGGTATATATGTATGTTCGGTCTCCCCCTCCCCAGCATCCCCAAACCACCAAAACCACCAAAGCATGCACTGATCGTTTTCAGTTTCTCTTCCTCTCTTCCTCCTTCGCCTCCTCCTCCGCCTTCCCCTCCTCTCCCTCCTCCTCCTCCACCTCATCCTGGTCCTCCTCCTCCTCCTCCTCCTCCTCCTCCCCCTCCTCCTCGAACGCTTTAGAAATCAGCGAAATCGCGAAACCGCTGGGAACAAAAACAAAAAAACAACTGACTATGATTTGGGGTGAACATTGGCCCCGTGCCGTCTCCCCAGAATTTCTCCCGAGATCATAGCTGTTCGTTTTTTGTTGCTGTTGCGTTGTTTCACTTGGTTTCGCCCCCCCTTCCCGTTCACAAATGGAATCCTTGTGTATTCCACCTTAGAAAGTCCAATTTCATTCCGCCACAAAGAGAATTCTTGCATTCTGCCACACGTGGAATCCTTTTGTATCCGGCTACGGCAAGATTCCCTTCGCATTCCACCGCATAAGAAATCCCTTAGTAATCAAACACGGAAGGATCCCCCCGCTATTCTACCATAAAAGGGAATCCTCCTGTATTCCGCCACAAGTGGGAACCCTTCCGCATTTGGCCAAAATAAAATCTCGTTGCATTCCGCCACGCAAGGAATCCGTTGGTAATCAATAGCCAACCACACAAAGTATTTCTCTTGCATTCTGCCACATAAGGAACCTCTTAATATTCCACCACAAAAAGAATCCTGAGCATTCCGCCGCAAATTGAATCGTGCAGTATTCTGCCAAAACGCGAATCCTTCGTTACTCCGTCACAGGAAGAACTTGTTTTGCACTAGGCCACAAAAGGATGTCCTCCTTGTTCTGCCACAGGAGGACTCCCTTGTATTCTGCCACCAAAATGGATCCCGCGGTAATCCACCACAAAAGGCAACCCGTAGTATTCCGCCACGATTATCCTTTAGTGCTCTACCACAACAGGGAATCCGTTTGCACTCCGCCACACGGGGAACCCTTGTGTACTCTGCCACAAAAAATGCCCTTGCATTCCGCCCTGACGATGATGGTAACGATAGTCCTGACGAGGATGGTGGGAAAGCGTTTGCCCGCAAAAATCCAGGCACCGTGGCGTGTGCGCTATTGAAAACCAGTTGGTTTGCGCATGTGTGTGTGTGTGTGAGTGAGAACACCTCTGCGCTGAGATGGTGAGGAGCGAACTGGTGTTGGACTGAGTTCGACGCACGCGCGCGGAGACACGTGCGTGTGGCCCGACTGATAATCTTCGACAGAGTTGGTGGATGCACGATGGTAATGAAACGTTTCGACATGCGCGCGCAAGCGGCCCGCATGCTCTGGTCTGGCAGAATGGCCAAACACAGATGGTGCTATTGAGATGCGAGCGGGTGCGCGCGCAGAAGCATGGCAACTGTTTCGTTGAAAAACAACTGATGTAAATAGTTCTTGACTAGCCATGTCTTTGTTCCTCGGGCAGAACAATTCATAGGCCCTCGAAATGGGTAGCCGGGCAAGTCCACGGAGTCACCACCAGCTAAAAGAGATTAGCCGCGTCTTGTCGAGGCAGCGGTGGAAAAAAACACGAGGTCGAAGGCAACGCAAACAGATTGCAGCCTTTCGGAAGAGCAATCATTCGGAGTGTTTGACCTCCCTCTTGACTGGCCGTGTCTCGAAGCTGCCACAAAAACAGCATTGACTTTTGAAGGACTTCGACGTGCGACCAGACCGACAGCAACGACGGGGGGGTCTCCTCGCCTCCAGGACGTCGGGGAACGCCTGGCGGATCATCGCCAGCTCTCCGAAGAGCTGCCTCCCAAAGAGCGGCGTGGAGGAGGAGGAGGAGGAGGAGGAGGAGGAGGAGGAGGAGGACGAGGAGGAGGAGGAGGAGGAGGATGAGGAGGAGGGGGAGGAGGGGGGGAGGAGGAGGAGGAGGAGGAGGAGGAGGAGGAGGAGGAGGAGGAGGAGGAGGAGGAGGAGGAGGAGGAGGGGAGGAGGAGGAGGAGGAGGAGGAGGAGGAGGAGAACCAGGAGGAGAACGAGGAGGAGAACGAGGAGGAGGGGGGATCCGAAATGCGGAGAGGAGGTCGAAGAAGGTCCAGGGCCCAGGCAGTAAAACAGGGCCGCGGGCTCTGGAGCTCCACGCGTGGAAGGAAACAGGAGCTCGAATGGCCTGGACCGCCGCCCTCCCGTGTCCCTTCGTCGCCGTCCCCCGTCGCACCCTCGGCCTGGTTTCCCCCGCTCCGTTCGCTGCACCCCCTCCGGGCGCTGACAGCGTCGAGTCCCGGCCCCCCCCACCGCATCTCGCGCACGGAGCTCAGGAGCTGGTCGGGGATGAGAACCACCCCATAGTTCCGACCCTCACGCGCCCGCTCCTCCACCACGTCGCAAATGAGCTGGGTCACCTCTCAGGCTGAAGGGCTGGCACGGAACACAAGGAGCAGATGCAGGAGGTACAGGGGGGAGGAGCCTTCTCGAACGTGATCATGGACCGGTAACACTATCAGACCCCCTGGGCCAGCAAACACATGTGTATCCCCGCAGC